CAATGTTTAGTGGACAGGTTTTATATCCCAGAAACTTGTGGGTAAAAAACTGCTCCTTACAGAGACTGCCAAATGCTGAAACAGCTACCCTGGAACCAGGGGGACTTTGGGGTAGGAGGATCTGGTAATGAACCCCCTGAGATCCTCCAAGGAAGGAGGGATTCAGGAATGGGGGTTAACTTATGTGGACACTTGAAAAACTGTGTTTGTTATACTGGGTACAGGTGGGAGGCTGCCTAAAAGATAAGCAGAAAGGAGGAGATCCCTAGTGTTGGCACTGGATTTATGACCAAGATACCTTGTTCTGGGAGGACCCAAACCCTCAGACTGATTATGACCTTTTCATTTGATAATAGGCAAATTGTATTGATACACAGTGGTAGCGGATAAAAACAATGCAAATAATTGTATATTTACCAGTTCTAGAGTTGTCATCAGAGTCCAGGTACATTTGGCCAGTATGTGAGCTTCACCCTGAGGCTTTTATTTTAATGTTAGATACCAGTAGTCTAGAGGTTGGAGGCCAAGGTCTGCCCCTCTCCCCCAGTGGGGTGGGTGAGATGGGCTGGTAGTATGACCTTTGTCCATGGCTGCCTCAGGTTCCCTCTCAGGGACTCTTTCCTGCTTAGAAATTCTTTCTTTTGTATTTTTCCCCTCCTGATGACTTTTTATCAGTAGCCATTGCTGATTGCTCTTTTTGTGGTTGTCATACTGTCCATGTTCTGTTCTGTCAGCATATCCCATTGTTTCACAAATTAATCACATGCACACATCCTAATTTGGGCTTTACCGGTGTCCTCCTAATTTGGTCTGTTTCCCCAAAACCAGAAAACCTAAGGGTCCTGCAGTTGGGTACTGTGACCTGGTGCCACTTTGTCTCATGTTATGAAACAGTGTGGTACATGTCGTTAATTTCCCAGCCTGTTTATCTATGTGCTGCTTGCCTGTCAGATACAGTGGGCCTTGAAGAAACTTTGTCACAGACGAGCTTCTAAAAAAATCAATTAACCCTTGCTGTTGCCCTGGACCATTATTCTAGTGCATATGTACTTTACCTAGATGCCAGTTTCCAAAAGCAAACCTTTAAATACCATTTTCTAGCCATAACATAGATGGGAGAAACTTTGCCCAATATGGGATGGCTGCAAGAAGTAGGTAGCCAGGGATCAATAAAAGGTGAGATGAGCATTGTTAAGGCAGCTAGGCTAGCAGTTGTGAGCTGACCTGGAGACTAGCCATAGGCCCTAACTGGAAACCCCTGCAGGTGGCTGGAAAGCCACCTTACGCACGCGGAGTAGGGATATTTTGAGTATTTTAGTTGCAGCCAGTGGGCTTGTGTTTTGTTGATATTATGATGTGAATGTTAGTGGGCAGCAACTGGTGGTGTTGGAGTGACTAATAAGGGAGGAGGTCACAAGGTACCTCAGGCTGTGGGGGGGAGGGCAAGTAGTGTTTTGAGCACTTCTAGGGGTCTAGGGCTCATGACATAGGCAGGAAGTGGCCACAGAGATGGGGGGGAGGGGAAGCAAATGGGTCACCGAGGGACAGGGGGCATAGAGCCCAAGACAGGTGAACAACAGGGCTAGGGGACCCAGAGCCAAAAGACTGAACAGCTTGAGCCTGAGACAGGTGGTGTGAAGCCCGCTAAGGCCAAAACCCATGTGGGGCAAGAAGCAGGGCCTGGGGGCCCAGAACCAGAATCAGAAAGATATTCCTCTTCTGGGGGAGGGCGGGGGGGAGGGGAGAAGATAAAGACATTGGAGGAGAGGATATGTAGCAGGCTGCACACATCATGCTGCAGCAGTCTGCAGTCTTGCAGAGGCTACAGCCCAGATGCAGGGTGGTGAAAACTAATGTCAGGCCTTCGTGGACTAGGACAGCTGATTCAAATAATTGGCTAGTTCTGGAGGAAGTTAAAAGGCTCCCAGGGACAGGAGCTATGGGGACGAAGACGAAGACGAAGACGAAGACGAAGACGAAGACTTGCCAGGATACCAGCTACAACACTGGGCCAGGGCACTTTCTTGGGGTCTGGGAAGAAACTCAGGGGTTGTGAGTGTGGAAGTAGTAGCACCACAGCAGGGAACTCACTCAAGAGGGAGAGAAGGAAGGCTGCAGTGCTGAGAAAACAGCAGAGGTGGGGTTTGAATTATGGGGGAATTCAGGGGGGATGAGCCCCCCATAAGAGATGAGCTCCCCCAAGCCTCAGGCAGTGATGGTGGTAGCAGCAGCAGCCGCTCCTACCGGCTGCCAGCGCCACAACTCCCCCCTCCCCCTGCCGCCCGAGTTGGAATGTAATTCAAACTGTGAGCAGAGATCCAAAGTCACCTTCTCAAGGTTTGGGAAAAGAGTCAGGACTGTGAGTTAACCCTTTATGGGCCATGCTTATGTTTGTTTACTGATTTGAGGATTTAAGTTGGTGGAGTTTCCTGTGAGAAAAGGGTGCCTAGGAAAATAAAGGATTGAGAGGAGTAATTCCTAACCTGCTACAAGAGTGTAAGAGTCAGACCTCAGATTCAGACACAGAGGTGGATAAAACAACCCGGGGGGTGTGAGGGCGGGAAGAAGGAACTAAATAGATGTTCTTATCTCAGCATTCATTTTCTCCTATGAAGGAACTGAAGAGACCCTGAGCTAAGACAGAAGACAAACAGGAGGTGAAATAACAGTAAAAAAAGAAGTTATGAGTAGTAGGGTCATATAAGCCTATCACAGATGAGAAGTAAACTTCTTTCACAGGCAAGAGAGTGAAATAAATTGTGTGGCAGAACCTTGTAGAATAGTGTCTCTTTTAGTCACCTTGTGTTACAGAAACAGAAATTGAGTATAAGCCAAAGAAAAAAAAGGCCTAGCATTCGGAACAGAGTTTAAAATCTACACTGGGAAGATGAAGATGAAGATTTTGGCATCAGCGGATAAAATTTTAATGAATTAGAATTAACGGATCTATTTACATTATTTCCCATAAACTGGCCAGCTTTATTTCCAGTCTTCCAAATTCTGCTCCTTCTGACACATTCTTCTTTCCCTTTCCCAATGACTATTCCCAGCACTGTCAACCTCAAGTATTCATGCCTTAGCCACTGGCCCCCAAATCATGAGGCTGGCTTAAACTTATGTGATTTTAAAATAAATGTTGACATTTCTTTTTCATCATTTTGATGTTTTTAATCATTTTTCTTCAAGAGAAAAGTCAGTTCATTTATGAAACTTTTCATGGTAACATGGAAGAATTTACCAGTTCAAGAGGGAATTTGTTTTACTCAAATAAACTGAAATTCCAGTACTTTGTTTGAATCGGGCAAGGCAGGGACTTGAATGTAGGTCTCACAGTGAGTGTTCAGGGGTGCTTGTTCTTCCTCACTTGATCTGATGCAGAATAGGCCTTATTTTTTTTTAATCTACTCATTTTTGTAATCGTGCAGTTTTCTGACCAGCTTTAGCTGCCAGCCACTGTGGCAATGACACACACATGAATCCAATGAGCAGATTTTTGACAGTTATACTAATTTTATAAAAGTATTCTATGTATTTAGTAGTATTATATAAGTGCATCTCAGAATAATCCTATCTGTTTGTCATTCTGTTTATGAGGCAGCTAAAATTACTATTGTACAAGAATTGGGTTTTCTCATTTGCAGTAAATGACAAGACTTAAAATTTTGTATAATTCTGAATTTCCATGAAAGTAAAGGATTTCAAAATTCTTGTGTAATAAAGTTTTGAACAAAATGCTGATTTTGTTTGGCCAGCTGAGATTTTTAATTTTAATGTATTTTATTTTAGACGCATTTTAAATGTTATTTACATACCAGAATCAAAGTATTCTGTTCTGAAAAAGTCAAAATGAAATATTTCAATTCTACTGATTTTTTTCCTGCAACAATTGAAGAAATTAATATGTATCTGTAGGAAATACTGGTTTCAATAAAATGGCATTTGTGGATGATAAATATTGTGTCTGAATATTTTTACCAGCTCTGCTCAGAATAACATTCATGTGCCTAAGAAACCTGTTCCCATATACTTGCACACAACTCTTATGAACTTTAATTAGAATTGCACATATGTTTCTGCAAATGGAATGTGGCCATTAATCTTTATAGTCAGAGACAGGATTCAAAGAGGAAAAAGGGGAAGAAAATCCAGAAAGTGAACACTCTGCAACCATCCAATTAGCTGAACTAGACAATAAAGCGTATGAGGGAGGAGGTAACGCTGGGGTGAGCACTGCAGGCTATTCTCAATCAGACCTGCCAGTAAATTGCTTTCTAATCTAGCTTTTCCTTTCGCCTTCTACTTAGTCCTTTTAATCTTTATGCCATTTTCTTGCTTCTCTACTTTGTTTGATTCATAAAAAGTGGTGATAACACTGCTCCTGCTAGAGAGAAGTGGCAAAACTCAGCTCCTGGGAGCTCTGTGCACTTTCTGAATTGATTAGTGGTAAATGTAGTAACAGTATGTAGTTCTCTGATGATTCTTGTATTTCTGTTAAATTACATCTTTTTTAATGGGATGAGGAAGTTGATGGACTTTAACATCCTCTGGTCCCCTCCCTGTCAATATAAAGAGTAAAGATGAGACATTTTTATAAATAGGGACTGGATTCAGAAGCTGCTACAATCAAGGGATATTGAAGCA